AAATCCATTAAAGCAACCAAACAGACGTAACATACATGTAACTAAAAGTCAAAAGAACATAAAAGATGTCTTACAGATGCTGTCAATATGTAGTGTTTCCAAAAAGATGCTCAAAAGACTCCAAACTTTACGTCATTTTCTCTATCAGAACCTACGTATGAAAATCATCATACGCTAAGTAGAACTTAGTGAGACAATAATCATTAAGGTGAGATATAACATAAAAATATTATAAATACGTTAAAAAAATTAAAAAAAGTAATTCAAATAAAAACATTAAACTTTCAAACCAAATTATTCAAGCAATTCTATTTATCAGAAACATGAAAATTAACATCTCATGATTTTATCAAAATCACGACAATCAATATCAGACATAATAATCATTTCGTATTCTTTTTCATTAAGATACTTTAGATATTTCATTTTTCATTTCATAGACCAATGCATATTTAAGAGAATTCAAGGTACGTGAGTCGAACATAATGTGCACACTAACCACCAACGGTGCCATCATCATCATCATAAAATACACTCCAAGTGCAATCATAAATGAGACGAGTCAGATCACGTGCAACTCGAGATTGACTCGATCAAAGCTCGATAAATACTTAACTCAAATGGACTTAACTCGAGCTCGAACTCGACTCGAGTTCTTAACGAGCCGAAACGAGCGACTTCATACTTGACTCGAAAGGCTCGCGAGCTACTTGAAAAATAATATATTAATATTTTAATTTTTAAAAAATTAAATTATTAACAATATTAACATTTGTGTGTGTGTTTTTTTTTAAAAAATACAGTATAAATGTATTTAAGATTCATGTTCGAGTTCGAGTTTGAGCTTTAACCGGGTTAAGTTTAATAATTTTTTTATTTCGAGTTTTTTCTAGCCTCAATTCATGGTTTCGAGTTCTAGTTGAGCTTGAAAGTTTTAGACTTGCAAGTTTTCGAGTCGAGTCGAGCTCCATTTTAGAGTTTCTTAGCATAGTTGAGCTCAGCAATACTCGAGCTCGACTCGGCTCGTTTATACCCTTAGTTACAGATGTTACATTAACATTTCAGACATTATTTGTAGTTAAACCCTTAAAATTTTGTTTCATTTACAAACTTTTGTTTAACCGTTTAACTCTATTTAATAGATCACATAAAATATTAAAATAATAAATTGTCATCCAAAACAAATATGATTTTAAGCAGTAACTAGGCAGTTAAATGATGTTTCACAAACTATGTAAAACTGCATAAACACTGCTAATTTGAAAGCCATTTAAAACATAATGTATATATACTATGCATTCATTTATTCAAATATAAATGATAATAACCATAATAGAATAATCCTAATTTTACTATTACAGACCATTTTAATAAATCCATTAAAGCAACCAAACAGACGCAACATACATGTAACTAAAAGTCAAAATAACATAAAAGATGTCTTACAGATGTTGTCAATATGTAGTGTTTCCAAAAAGATGCTCGGAAGGTTTCTCACTTTACGTCATTTTCTCTATTAGAACTTACACATGAAATCATCACACGCTAAGTAAAACTTAGCGAGACAGTAATCATTAAGGTGAGATAAAACATAAAAATATCATAAATACGTTAATTTTTTTTTAAAAAAAGTAATTCAAATAAAACATTAAACTTTCAAACCGACTTATTCAAGCCATTTTCTTTATCAGAAACCTGAAATTCAACATCTCATGATTTTATCAAAATCATGACAATCAATATGAGACATAATAATCATTTCACATTTTTTTTCATTCAGTTCATAGCCCAATACATATTTAAGAGAATGCAATGTCTTTGAGTCAAACATAATGTGAGTACTAAGCACCAACGATGCCATCATTATCATCATAAAATGCACTCCAAGTGTAATCATAACATTTGCACCAACGATGTCATATATAATGTATACGAATGTACCATGTCGTAGAGACTTTACTTTACGAATGTACCATATCGTAGTCAGAATTTACATTACTCAACTTAATGGCATGTCAAGTGTACCTACGACTCTTAATGCAACATACAATGGGCTTTCAGATCATATCATATTCATTTAATAATCAACATTTCAAAATCACAATCATTTTAATTCACCATCGTAAAAACATAACTTGGGAAATTCATACCCTAAACCATTCATTAAACTTTTATGTAAACATTATAGAAGTAATCCATAAATAAAATATAAATCATACTTTAATAATAATATGAGGTTGTCTTATCGCAAGTATTCCTAGATCAGAATAATTAAATAAATAAACTGCACTCACCTTTGCCTCTCTACCGAACCTTTTATACAATATTCCTTTATTCACGTGATTTTTCCTTCCCTTTCGTATCAATCGGATTGCTAGGTTTATCGTGGTCTAGACAACATCATATAATAGCACAATATTTAACTTATATGTTATTATTATACTAACATAATCTAATTTCGATAAAATAAATTCTATAAAACATAGTCGATAATAAATCAATTTAAAACTAAATCATAATTCCATTTTAAACTTCAAACTTTCTAAAATAGCTATTCGATTCCTTAAATGTTCATTTTCATCACCGATCCTTTAATTTCATAAACTTTGCACTTAAGTCACTATTTATGAATTTTCTTTAGAATTCACATCAACTTTTGAATTTAACTCACAATGGTCCTTCATCATTTTACTTCAAATCAAATTCTAAAATTTGCAGCACATAAATAATATACTCAATCCAATACTTCAACATTTAAAAACTTGTAATTTCATCCTTAATTCCTAATATCATTCACATTCAACCACTAACTTTACAAATCTTGCAATTTGATCCCAAACAAATACTTAAGCTTGCAATTTAGCAACCAAGTAATAAATTTCCAGTATTGTAGTATCATACTCAACTATACCTTCACATTTAACAAACTTGCAATTAAGTCCCCCAACCTTTAAATCCATTCAAATTTCACCAAATTTACACTTTGGTCCCAAACCAATATTCTAACTTAAAATTCAATATTCAACAATTAATTTCCAACAATGAACACCCCTAATTACACAATAATACATCAATGTATCATAATTTTTAAAACTTGCAAAATAGTCCTTTTACTATCTCAAGGTCCCAAATCGATCCAATTCAATCTCCAAAGCACATAGAACTCATCTAATATCAATTCTAAACCATAGGAAGATTTTCAACATTTTTACCATATTTTCTTCCCTATGGCCAAATACCCTTAAGTCCTAAGGGTAAACTTTTCTTTCAATTTCAAGCAAGAATTCAACCTCCTTACATCAAATTCATGCCATTTCAATCATCCAACATCAAATTCAATAAAAATTCAATCAACCTCTATAAACCCTAGTCATGACCGATTATAATATAGACTTCTACACTTGATTTTAATCATCACTCATGCTTTAGAATTACTCAACAACATCATAAACATAAAAATCTTCCATCAAATCTTCAAAATCAAACATGTTCTTCAACCACCCAACTTATGAAACTCAACATCTAAGCATGATTTCCATAAGATTTTTATACCAAAATGATAGAGAATTTCAAAGGGATTAATTCTCTATCTAATAGCTTAATCCAAAAAGCAACCATAAATTTCAAAAAATAAAACAAAATCTTCACCTTTGGGAGCTATGGAGTTCACAGCCAAGTGATGAAGATGGAGAGCAATGTTGGGTTTTCTAGTATTTTTCCATAATAAGCTTGTCTTAAAACTAATATAATTGAATTTTAAATTCAATTAATGAGAAATCCCCAAATTACCATTATTGAATAATGATAATTACCATTTCTCATTAAAATATCTTCCATTAAAATATTCCATAGTCAAAGATGAACCAACTTGAAGTTGACTTTCTACTTTAGCCATGCAATTTTTTAAAATTGCAATTTAGTCACTAAATTTTCCCAATTTCAACTAAATAAGGAAAATTAACTTCAATTCCACTAATCCATGCTAAATTTAACTATTCTAAAATATGAATATAATATTTCCAACCTTTATCTAGCATCCTTTAAATTTCTGAAAAATTTCGGTTTGATATGATTATTCGATTTCTTATCGAATTTTACTACTTTATAGCCTTTAATACGAATCCCGAATCAAAAATATGATTCCAACAAAAACATTAATTTTGAGACAAACTATTCATTTATAGGCCAAAATATATAAATTTTAAAAAGTACACTTTTAGTCCCTAAACTTTTACAAAAGCTATACTTTGGCCACTAAACTTTCAAAACTTACATTTTAGTCACTAACCAAAATTTGGGGTATTACAATCATTTTATAAATTTTAATAGTTGAGAGACTTAATAAAGTAATTCCCTATAGTTAAGAGACCATTTATGTACGTCACTCATAATTATATCAATTTAGATATACTAATAACTTCACAAAAATAAAACATCAAATTATTTTAAATTATAGTAAAAGAATTAAATTCTAAACGTTAACATATTACCAAGATTAAAAACATAATTAGATCTAAGACAGGGTTTTATCAACTTTTTTAATTGGAATAAAAAAGTCTAATCTAAGTGCCAAGATTCAATCCTTGACGAAGTTTGGTTTTATTGACTAAAATAAACAAAAAAAAAATTGAAAGAGGGTTTTAGTTAACATCCAACTCCCAAGTAAAGTAAAAGAGATGGGAGAAATGGCGTCGTTTAACGATCGTGTTCAAACATTGAAAACCATTACATTTAACTAACCCACAAGTTGTATTTAAATGACCTTAAATAATCTCCAACCCCTTTTCTTCTAACTATTGGGTTTCCACCCAATTGTTGATGACCAAATGTGGTTCTTCAACTCTCTAAAATGGCATTTTACACCCTTCCCAAATGAGAAAAGAATATGTGATTGTAGAGGACGATTCCCAGTGAAGAATAATGAGAAAAGAATTGTCTTCCCTATATAAGTTTTTATCTCCTACTCCCATTATCATCATTTCAATTACCAAGCTTGGTAGATGGCTTCTTCTGGTTTCAATGCTCAACAAAACGTCCTCTTGCTTGCGGTGGCTGCCTCTCTTTTGACGGTCACTCGAGCCACAACGGTGATTGTTGGAGACTCCGGAAACTGGCGATATGGTTACAACTACAAGGAATGGGCGGCCAACACCGCGCCCTTTTACTTCCAGGACACCTTAGGTACTTGATGTACAACCATGTTAAGTTACTTTTTCTGCAAGACTGATACTTAGTTTACCATTTTGTTAAACACTGCAGTGTTCAAGTATGATAACGAAACAGCTCATAGCGTGTACATGCTGCCAAACTTGAGGAGTTACTTACAATGCGATTTCAGTAAAGCAAAGCTTTTAGCCGATCCAACACAAGGAGGTGGTGATGGCTTTCAGTTTGTGTTGAACCAATGGAGGGTTTTCTACTTTGCTTCTGGTGAGGGCATTGACTGCAAAGATGGGCAGATGAAGCTGGATGTTGTCCCTTGGCCACGATTTTAATAAAATCCTTTGATCACCAGTAATAAGATTGTTCATTCATTTGGGAGAGGCCTATATGATTGAATAACTATGTAGTATAATAAGCTAAGGGTATGATCATTTGGAATAATGTTGTTGATTATTGGTATACATTTTGTCTTGTTTTTTCCTTTCATTAGGTTTATGGGTGAATTTCGTTTTATGTCAAATTAAGGAATTGAGTTTCTTATTTTCTTGTTGAATGCAATCTTTTATATATTTATATATATGGATTGTGTATATATATTATGATAAATGTATAGAATATTATACAGAAAAGTTTCGCTTTTCTTTGCTGATAATATTCAACTAATATACTATTTAATTTCTCTCGCAATAATTTTTCTCCACCAACACTCTCATCTCTCTTCTCGTTATCATAATTATGTTATCAGACTTTTAATTTTAAATTACGATTGTAGTATTTATTATAGATACAATTGTTGATATTGCAAACATTACATAACGCATAACGCTTGTAAGTATAATTTATTTCTAAAAAATATATTATTTTTAAAATATTATATTTATATTGTTTGTGTTCTATTTAAAAAATAAGATAAATTATACCAACCATCACTGAACTTTATTCTCTCTCCTATTTCACTTACCGTACTTTAGTCCGTTCAATTTTCTAACTGAATTTAATACAATTAGCGTTTTTGGTCACTTAGACGTTAAATATTTAATGGCGTTAAAACGATGCCATTTTAGAGAAACAAAATTTTCACCAAAACGACGTTGTTTTGCAACTATATAATAACTCATTTATAAACCATTTACTGAAAAAATGATTGAGTGACAAAAAATGCTAATTGTATTAAATTCAGCGAGAAAATTGATCGGATTTAAAGTACAATGAGCGAAATAGAGAGAGTAAAGTTCAATGACGATCGTGTAATTTACCCTTAAAAATAATAATATAAATTTATATATAAAAATCATTGAAAATATAAATACGGACTATAAAATATCATTATCTTAAATAATAGATAACAACAATCATAATTTTAGTAATACCAAAAAAATCATAATTTTAGTGAATAATATATAAATAATCTCATGTTAAAAAGGCATATAAATATATGGGAGTTAGAAATTGTTAACCTAGAGCCGCTGCTTGTTCTGTCTAGGGTTCCTCTCAAATTGTTTGTTCCTTTTTATTTTTCATTGAGTTTTTTTATTGAAAGGCAACGATATTAATTATAGTATGGATCGTCGATCATCTGTATTTATTTTTTTTATTTTTTTTAAAAATTTATCTTTTTAATACGTTTTTCTCTGTCTTTATGAAACGATTTCTTCTATCTTTTGGTATGTTATTGATAGTTTTTCATTCTTTTCGTTTATATTTTTTTCAGGGTTGGATTTGACATTACCTCGACTAATCAAGATGACATTGAATTGTTTTTAGATATACGATTTGTGTTCGAGGATAGTTTCTCAAGACGCTCAACCCTTATTTACTGTTTATCAGTGGTCTTTTAGTAATTTAATTATCTTTTGTGTTCTGTACTTAGATTTGTTCATATATATCTTTTGTTCAAATTTTTTATTTGAGTTTTAACATTTTCCTTGTATGATCTTGAGTAGCTAATTTCTTGTGTGAATGAATATAAAAATGTTATAATTATAAATCTTTATTGTAATTCCAGATATTTTATAAATTCAAATATAAAAATTAATTTCTTATAATTCACCGTCAAAATATATTACATGGAGGATTTGAAGGGCATTATTATATATAAAACCCCCCTAAAAATTAATTTATTGGACAATACCTCATAGACATGTTTTTTATAGCAAAAAATATTTCTCAAACTACACATGCAGGATAATCGCGTCTTACAAAACGCGTTTAATGAACCTCGCATTTTACTTGACGCGAAATCTATTAACTTTTTAGATAAAGTGATTTTTTTTGGGATAAAGCAACAAATAAATGCATGAAACTCGCTTTTTGTAAAACGTGAGACATGGCCTCACCTTTTACAAAATGCGAGGTCATCCTACGTGAATAGTTTAGAGGGCATTTTTTTTCAAAAAAACTTGTATGAGAGGTATTGGTTCAATAAATGAAATTTTAAGAATTTTTTCATATAATAAAGCCGATTTAAAGCATCTTCACTTTTGTCATTGTCTCGTTTTAGTTCCTTCTCATTTGATGTAAAAAGATAACATATTGTATGCATTATAATATGCATTATTGGTAGGAAACTTATGATACATTAAACGATAATAAAATAACTTCATGTGAGTATATGTATTTGATTGATTAGAATAAAAAACATAAAATGGTTTCACTAATTTCATGATCATTTTTAGTTAAACTACGAACATCGAAATAAATTAGGAAATATTTCTCTCATCCTCTTATGATTCATTATTTAATTGTATTTGAGTTTATTCGTAGGAAGTTTATTATAATTTTGTTTTTGTAATTTTACGTTGTTGGTAGCTTCTAACATTTATTATTAATGTAATAAAATATTTTTTTTTGTATTTTTTGGAATTTATTATAATTTTGTATAAGAATATTTTAATCATTGAAAATGTATGATGCACACACCTTACAGACGCAACTGATCGTACTCAGGATCTCAAAAGAAAACAATATTTTTAACAACTGAAGACATTCAATAGTTTCAATAAAATCTTTTGTTTAGATAGATGGAACAAGTACACATAATAGTCATATCTTTTTTTTAAATTTATTTTCTTTTATTAAAATATGAAGAAGTTAAAAATATTAACTATTATTTAATGGTATATACTTATAGTACCTTTAATGATCGGCTAAGGATGCATCATAAGTTAAATGTTTGTTAATATTCAATATATTTTTTTGTTAAATCTAAAAATATTCAAATGTTTCATCTATGTGATTTTATATCTCAGACAACCTGAAAGTGGTGTAACATTTTACCTATTACAATGTTATATTTCAGATTGTAAAAGTCGTGATATGGTTCTCTCATCGCGTTACATTGATATTACGTCATAACCTTCAAAACTATTATGATATGATTATTACATGAAGTTATGGCTACAACTTAATATTATGACCAGACAACACTAAATCATTGCGGTCAATGCCTCCTTATCTTTTGGATGTTTCAACAGTTGTTGATGTTGCTTTCCCTCTCTTGACTCTTCAACGTATAGTTCTAATGATTCTTGATGGCATCATCGGTCCTCCCTAAAAGCAACCTTGCAATTGTGGCCCATCTACTACCATACACGGAGTGAGAGGCCAAGAACAGTCTTTTCCCCAACTTGCGAAAACGGACATCGGACGGTGGCCGAACTTGTTGATCAATTGAAGAATTGCAACATTGATCCCCAAAGTCATTCTACTTGCATTCTTTGGATGGAGAGCTATGCAGACTTAAATGACATCCAAGGAGTAGACAGTGTTTTAGAGGATTCACCAAATGATAAATAAACTTACCTGGGATAACATGGCTGCAATTTTTGTTGAGGCTGGTCAATTTGAAAAGCTAAGGTAAATCTAATATTGTCCCTAATTGTCTGGATCGATAGGCTCAATTACTTAGATTTTTACATAATTTTAACCATCTAACAATATAAAAATACATGTCATCACTTTAACGATAATTATTAGCGTAAAATATGCATTTAATACTCTAACTATTACTTTTGTTTCGTTTTAATCACTTAACTTCATTTTGTTTTAAAATCACATTTAATGTGTAACGCCCTGAATACCGATCTAGTAGTTTTGTGTCGACCCAATAATTTATTTAATAAATTTATCATAACACGAGGGTCATTTGGTTCGAATTTGAGTTTAATTGAGGGTAAGAAATTAGCCTCGTAAAAGATAATTTTTTTTAAAACTTAGAAAAATATAGGACTTAGAGTGTAATTTTACCATTGAAGAAAAACATGGCTGATTTGAGGTGATTCTTTCCTATTTTAGTCGTGGATTTTGTGGTGAGCCAAAAAGGGATTTTTTTCCTTCCTCTTTTCTTCTCCCTTCTTTTTCTTTCTTTTATTTCCCTTATCTCAAGCAAGAACAAAAAGAAAAAGGCTTCACCTTTCTTCATCTCTTTCTCCAATCCAAAACTCTAGAGGTAAGATTCTTAATCTAGAGTTCTTAAGCTTCATGAAAAGCTCACCATCTCTCTAATGGTGGTTTTGAGCTTCATAAAGGTTCTAAGAGGGATTTAAGATCCAAGAGCTTCCTCCAATGTTTTGGTTTGTTTTTCATGTGTTATAGTTGTTATTTAACAACTAGTGCCCATTATTTCATGTTGGAATCAATCTGTGGCTTTTGGGTGATGGAAGAGTGGTGCAAGAACCCCCTAAAAGGTAAAGAATTGACAAGGTTGTTTTTTGAAGGATCTAGAAAGGTATTTGGGTAGCTAGGAGTTGAGGTAACACACTATAACTCTTCCTTACTACTTGTATGTCATATAGATGAGTGTGCTTGCTTGTAACAGTGGAAAAACATGTGGGTCTTGAGTTATTGATTTGTTGTTATGGATGCTTTAGAGGTTATTCTAGTGAAAAAATCATGTATAATGGCCTCTTTTAACTTGGACCTTAGAATAAGTGTTTACAGTGAGTTTGAGGGTGTTTCTCGAGTAAAATAATGTATTTCTATGTAATGGTATCAATATTGTATGAACAATATGGATACTATTCATATTCTGGGTGAAAACTGGTTTTTCTTTGCTTCGGTATCGATACTGAATAAAATGGTATCGATATCGGCCCTTTGGTATCGATATCGATGGTTTTTGTATTAATACTGAAGTGTTGGTATCGATACCAAAGTGGTGGTATCGATACCGAAGTGTTGGTATCCATACCAGATGAATTGGTATCCATACGGGATAAACTGATATCCATACCGACTAAACTAGTATCCATATCGAAGACTGGGTACCCATATCGAAGGCTTAGTATCAATACTCTAGGTGGTTAAGTAACTTTTTGTTATCAAATAGACTTGAGGTTGAGGAATTTAATATCGATTAAGATCGAGCATCTATATCAAGTGTGGGTTGTCACTAAATTGCCCTTGGGGGCTAAAATTACCAAATTACCCTTATAGCCCCTGTGAAGGAAATAACATATACGAGTTACTTATGCATGACGAGAGTGTATCAGTTGTCCCTCTAATTCAAGGGTAAATGAGGGA